TTAGGCATCAACCCTTTCAATGTTCATCACAATTTAGACTTCTCTGAGAACCTCCATATTGGAATTTTATTGGAGATCCAAATGACGTGTTATTTAAGCCTATCAGCAGTTGTAGAGTGGCGTTTGAATAGAACTGCAATGACAACGATTTCAAATGTTTCAAATGTAGTCGCAGTTTGTCAGCATCAAGTGATTGCGTATGCAACCGAAGCTTTTTGACGGAGCGAACACCCTTAAGAGTAAATTGCCTATGCTCGTTTATAGCCGATATGGTTAGGTCGGCTACAACAGACTCGTTCTCATACCGATGTGTATCACCAGTCCAACGTAGGCAGAGTGGTTGCGGTGTTCCTCTTACATTAAGCTGTTTAAAGAGATCTTCGTCAATGAGTGTAAGAGACGAACCATTATCTATGAAAGCACATGTTAATACACTACTATGACCAAAGTGTAAAACTACTGGTAGTATTCGAAACAGTGTGCTTGCCCCGGTTACAATATGTGTATTAATGTTGGCTCAGCTACATTGCTACTCAGTACACATGGTCGAATTATACCTTTCACTTCATGGTATTACTTTGCAAGAGGTACAATTAGAAACTTCACTACAACTTTCATCGCAAACGAAACATCTTACCGGACTAAAATGATGATTAATTGTCTCTCGTTTGCGCTCTCGTATTGGTTCCTTTGGAACGAGAACGCAGTTGGCTCCTTGAGCCAACTGAAAAAGCCAAAGACTGAAGTTTTGTAAATTACATACTGTCAAGCTCCGCTTATGTATTCCCCAATATGCTGGTAGAAGCCCAAGTAATTTTGAAACCAACCGCTGTTCAAATGACTAGTCAGGCCTGATACTGACATCGGTTCAGAACACCCTTTTGGTCTACCAAATCTCATATGAAGTGTGGCCATAATTTGGTTGACACTTGAGGAGTGCAATAGAAAATGTTTAACAGCCCTTAGCGCTGAAAGTTCCAATGCCTGTCGCAGTTTTAACAGATTCTCTTCGTCGGAGAATCCGCAAACCTCCGTAGTTTGAATATAAGTGGCATCATATTTGGGCAATTCGAGTCAATCGGCGATAAGCTGCAGCAAAAAGGACAAGCTGTTAGCGTGTTCCCCTGTCGGAAACGTTGTATGTGCTGTTTGCGGCAGAGCAGTCTCTGGATAGAGCATCAAGTTCCGTCGCAACTGTTGTTCAACTGACTGTATTCGGTCCAATAAATATTGAATTGTGGGGGTAGCTGCAGGATCTGGGATGGAGGAGGCACCTGATTTCTAAACCCATTTGAGATCCTAGGCATTGAGTATTGCCTTTCTTCGAGGTCGCCTTCGAAGCCTGTTGCATCTATGTGATCTAAAAAGCTGTGCTGTTCCCTTAATAAAGCCTCCTCTGTCGCAGGATTTCAGTCTTATGAGTTGGCTTTCTTAAAGAGAGTTTTGGCAGAAAGTTATTTTTTCCGAGAGAATGTTTGGTGTCTTTGGAAAAACGGGCACGGCGGTTCATAAGGAAATGTGGTGCAGAAGCAATGATATGGGATTTCATAGCTAGTAACTATGTGAACCAAAAGGAATTTATAGAGTCCACCATGGTTAAATATGCATACCTTATTACCTTAAAAATAAATTTGAAGCAAATAGCGGTAGAATTTGGTCTTGGAAGTGAGTCCTATTTTCTACAGCATACAGCAGACATAGTTAAGCTTTAGTTACTCTACAAATTATATAATAGTTGAAATAACAAAACAAAAACTGCAACCTCGCTATTGTGTTTGTTTGAATTTAAAGTGACAAAATTTTACTTTCTATTTGGCACAAAAATATGTAAAATTTGTTAACACCTTAGTACAATTTTTCATCCCAATTCTACACAGAGAGAAATGTTACCGATTGGCAGATAGCACTAATAAATACATAGGAAGAATATTTATGCCGCACTAGTGTACGCTTATCTCGTTTCAGTTCTAATTATTGTATCATACATCCGACGAATTTAAATAAAAATTCTTTTTTATAGAAAAAGCAATCAAAATAAGCCTTAATTTAAAAATTTTTTAAAATTTTGCAGTTTTGGTAGAAATGGGGGCTGAAAATAAAACCCGTTACCTAGCCAAAATTTTTCGGCACTTTGCCTTAAATTGTTCTTTAAGTGTTCAAAATTTCCTTATTTGCCCATAGTGGATACAATACATTGAAAGTTTCCTACCCCACCAGCTATCATACTTCCCCATATCATCATACCTACTCCACGATATTTGACAGAAGGTAGCAAATTTTCTCTTTTGAGCACTGTAACTGATTCCACACGATTTTCTGTCCTTTGACATTAAAGATACACCAGGGAAAAAACCTTCTTCCAAGGTGGACTATGCCACTCTAGTGGCATATTTAAATATTTATTTTCGAACGCGACACGTTACCCAAGGAGTTATGTAGTTTCTTACTAGCAAATCGTTCTTGATACCCTGTTTTCTGCAGAACTCTTCTGGCGATGGAAGCGCTTATAGGCTTTTGGAACTCTTGCTGAGCATCAAAGGTCACCTGAGTCGCAGTGATCAAGACGTTTGCCTTCACAAAGTACACAACACCCTTCACTTATCTTTTTGTCAGCTTAGAAGGACTTCCAGATCTCGGCCTCGATACCAATGTCAATGTCATGCAACGAAAAGAAATCGAACAACCACAGCGAAGTCACGTAAGCAGCAGCGAACGGCTTCACTTTAGGATTAGTTTTATGCTGACTTAGATTTAAGTTTTCAGGTCTGTAAAGTATCTCTCAAGGTGCAGCCACGCTCACCATTAATAAATAAATCAAATAAGCAAATTTGATAACGAAAACTTATAAATTTACGTAAGTGTAATATATATATTAATCAGAATAGGTATATATCTCACCAACTACTAAAGCGATATCAACTAAATTTATATATGTATGTATATTGAAATTCCATCTGATTATATTTAAATTTACAAATCAAATAATGTTAGTGTTCAAAGGTACCAAAAATGAATAAAAGGGACAGACCTCTCTTTGCTTTTTGAGAAAGCTCATGATCTCGTGGTTTACTTTGGCAGCACTCAAAATTCATGATCTGCTGAATAGATGACAAGCGAAACAACGAACTAGCACCAAGAATCCCGCAAAAATAAAGTGCGAATGCAGTGGGTTATATGTGGGATCACATTTTTTAGTGACTTTTACGTATAGTACAAATCTTTATTTAAAGAAATTTAATATAGTTTTGTTTTTATACTCTCGCAACCTGTTGCTACAGAGTATAATAGTTTTGTTCACCTAACGGTTGTTTGTATCACCTAAAACTAATCGAGTTAGATATAGGGTTATATATATATAAATGATCAGGATGAAGAGACGAGTTGAAATCCGGGTGACTGTCTGTCCGTCCGTCCGTCCGTCCGTATGTCCGTCCGTGCAAGCTGTAACTTAAGTAAAAATTGAGATATCTTTATGAAACTTGGTAGACATGTTTCTTGGTACCGTGCCACGCCCACAAAACGCCAGTAATCAAAAACAAATAAATTGCCATAACTAAGCTCCGCAATAAGATACAAGACTGTTATTTGGTACACAGGATCACATTAGGGAGGGGCATTTGCAGTTAAAATTTGTTTTAAAACGTGGACGTGTCCCCGCCTCTAATAGGTTTAATGTGCATATCTCTTAAACCGCTAATGCTATAATAACAAAATTCATTGGAAGTAAATGTTTTTAGCACTTCTATTGATCACTTTTAGGTGAAAACCCATATCTTGAGATCTGCTTAACCGATTTCAACCAAATTCGGTGCATAACGTTCTTTTCATGTTTCTATGTCATAGTGCGAAATGGGACTACAACCACGCCTATTTCCCATATAACACCATTTTCAATTCCATCTGATTCTTTCACTTTCCACTATGCATATCAAGCAACAATGATTATATCGGGGTAAAACTTTGCGTGAATAATACGTTTAAAGTATGCCACCTTGTGACCAAAAATTGTCTAAATCGAACCAAAACTGTTCAAGCCCCTAAGTACTAAATATTTAGACCCCAGTACCTATAGTTGACCTTCTACCGAAAATATCAGCCAATCCACAAAGAAATCTCAAACGAGTATACCATTTGACTTTGCGAGAGTATAAAATGTTCGGTTACATCCGAACTTAGCGCTTCCTTACTTGCTAAGAATTATTTTGTCGCAGAGTATTGTTTTGCTTAGCAGTAGCAATTGTTAACGTATATACATATTTTGGTTAGAATTTCCCGCAAACGTTATTTAAACTTAAGCTTCCGAATAAATTTTCAAAAGATAATTGTTTATTGAGTATATAAAAAGAAGTAAGGTACCTGTTTAGGTAATTTAAAACATGTAAGTGTTTTAATATATTTTATTAAAATACATATATTTAGGCCTCATATAGGATATCTAGCTTCTCAAACTAATTTAAATGTGTATATTTTTCAGTAATATGGAAACCGAAAAATATCCAAGAAATACATTAAAAAATCTCAAAACTTATTTCTTTACTTAGTGGCACCCCTGTCAAATGTTATAAAAAATATGAACTTTGACAGCGCTCTCTCGATTCAAAGAGTTTCGTATCATGTTATCCATGGCGCCGGCAACATACAATTTCGACCGCTACAAAAATTTGTCAATTAAACCTTTTACAATACAATTTTCGAATTTTTTTTTTCAGATATTCAAATAACTGTCGGCCGCTGGTAAGTCATAATGTACAGTTCCAGAAAGATTGCGTGTTCGCACTGTAGTTACAGCGGTGCACTCAGGTAGGGTTTCAGATGTCCTGATTTGATCAGGACAGTCCGGATTTTTCACCTCCTGTCCTGATTTTTCAAAATTCCTAAATCAGGATGCTAATGTCCTGAATTTCCATTAAAATTCAACAAATCAGGATTGTACTTACTTTTGAATATCGTAATTCGAAACAATAAGTTTATTATTATTTCACTGAAGTTAAGGCATCATTGGTATTTTTTCATGTAACTGAGGCACCCTGTTTTGTTTTGCAAGATTTTTATTCCTGTCTCTTCAAATTTCATAAAAGTACTTGCTATTTAAATACAGTGGTAATTAACTCTTGCTGCGTGGGAAGTCAGGTTATTTAAATATTTTGTTGCAAAATTAATGAAACACGCTACAATTTTTTTACTTAGAATAGCCGCATTGATACAATCGCTTGTTAGGGAGTCGTTGTCATCCATGGAGTTATCAGACGGTAGTAAAACAAAATCTAAACGTGCAACTCGTCGCACATGCAAATTCTAAGAAAGTTGAAAAACCGAATTTAATTGGGAGCAGCGAGGCTGCAAGAATACCATGGTGAGATGCATTGCTTGCGTGGGTGAGTTTTCGATAGCAAATGGGGATTTGACTGACGCGCGTAAGCATTTAAAAGCACACGCATCTTAAACACTCAAAAGAAGCCTTCAGTATCCAACTTATTGATAAACAAAGATGGAAAGTTGAATACTGCATTAGCGGAGCCTACGTTCACATACCACTCTGTAGTGCATAGTCATTTATCTGCAGATTGCACAACAAGCTGTTTAAATATTTTATATTTAATGACTCACATATCGCACCTGATTTTACATGCAGAAGAACGAAGTCAACAAAGATATGTACTAACGTTCTGTCTAAGTTTGCAACAGATATGGTTATCAATGACCTTCAAAATAACCGTCCTTTTTCGATCACAAAAGATGCTTCTAATAATGGCAATATTAAAACCTTTCCTTTATTAGTACGGTATTTTAAAAAACAAAAAGACTTGAACATTAAACCTTTAAGCTTTTATGAATCAGATTCTGAGCTATCAGGAAATATGGCACATTTTATTAAATTAAAGTTACGTGATTGACCTAAATTTTAAAAATATAACTAGCTTTTGTGTTGATAACGCAAACGTAAATTTCGGAGTAAAGAAAAGTGTGTTTGTTGATTTGAAAAAAGAAAATGATAACAATAATTGGTATTGGTTGTTTGTGCCATATAATTCATAATACCGAGGGTTTTACATAACATTGGAACCACGCAGAGTTGTACTATTAAGAAATTAGAAGAAAATAATTTAATTGTAATTGATATGTTTGATATAATGTGTGATTTGCGCTGGAAATTAATTCAGAAATAAGAGGAATCATTTTATGTGCAAATCGCGGAGACATTTCGTACCAATTGTACCGATTTTATTGAGTATAATTTGTTTAAAAGAAGAGCTGACACTTTTATATCAAGTATGGTAATTTAGAAAATAATTTTCAATTTACTAAAAACAGATTTGAAAAACTTTGTTTATTTCGCCTGGCATTCATTTTTCTGATTGATTTAGTGCAGTTTTTGACGAATTCGTTTCTTTAAAAAAATGTTGCACTATACACTGTACAGTTTTCAAACAGTGGTTTATATCCTCAGTTTGAAATTTTATTTGTTCAATACCACACTAAATATTTAGTTTGATGTTTTCTGTCTGGCGCCAAGAAAGAAATCGACTTTTAATCAAGAATGTAGAAAGTGAAAGTGAAAAAGGAAAGGATCTCGTTAATGCCATCCAAAAATCTAATTAATATTAGATAAGCAAATCTAAGCAGTTCCAGAAACATTTCGTGTTTGCAATATAATTACAGCGGTGCATTCAGAGCACAGTTGCAGCATAAAGTGCAGTTTCAGAAAGATTTCGTGTTCGTGATACAGTTGGAGTGGCGTGATCAGGGCACAGTTCTGTATAACGTACAGTTCCAGAAAAGACTTTGTTTGCGTGAGACAGTTACAGCGGTGAGCTCAGGGCACAGTTCAGCATAAGGGGTTAGGGGTAGTCAGAGGCACGATAAAAGTAGTAATATGGCACGAAATTTTCAAAAAAAAAATTTTATTTCCAAAGTTATAGCTGTCAGTTCCAAAAAAAAGGTCTTTGCGGTGACAATCATAAGTCCTTGGAGATTCGTCTTAAATCAATCGGATAAAAAAAATTAGTTTTATAAATCGGGAATCCTAAACCTGATCGAAGCTTTTTTTTCAAAAATTAACAAAATGGCGGCATAAGAGGATTTTTGTAGATTTTTGAAAAAAAATCAACAGTTAAAAGAAATGTTCGATCAGGCCCGATTTCATAATGTATTATAAAAGCTGTATAAATTTCATTAAAATCTACTGAGCGGTTTTCGAGCAACAGTTGTCACCATTTCAAAAAACATAGTTTTGAAAAAATGCATTTGAAGTTTCACACTAACGAATAACTCAAAAAGTAATTATCGGATCAACTTGATATTTTCAAAGAATATTTCCAAGATATTACACTTAACGAACGTTGTAAGATAGCGCTTGGGGAACTGTGCTAAGGTTTAGAAAGGTGGGTTGCAGCATAACATACAGTTCCAGAAAGATTGCGTGTTAGTAATACAGTTACAGTGGTGTGTTTAGGGCACAGTGTAAAATAGCGGTACAGTTGTAAAATAGCGTTTGGGTTGCAGTGCCAATTAACAATTACATGACGGCGTGTAGTACAGTTTCAATTTTAAAACTTTACTGAATATTTCGTTTCTCTAAAACGTAAAGGTCGCGCTTTAAAACCAAAGTGAATATTTCATTTCGGTAAAACATAAAGGTCGATCGGTGGATAATGATTTAAGACCAAAACTATTTCGTTTCTGTAAAACAAGTCGGATATTTCAGAAATTTATAAACAGCTTATATTGCTGTGAACCTTTGAGTATCGTGTAACTATACATACAGCCGAAACCATGTACAACCTGTGAAAACAGAGTGAGCAGCGCGACCAGGAAGAAGAGTTGGAGGAAACCCAACAGACCTTATTTTCGGCATTAGTAGCTAGTTTAAACGCCTTGACCATGATTGTTTAATGTTCTTGAGATAAAGCATATTGGTTGGCCTTGCTATGAAAGAACAGCTCAAATGGCGTAATCGCTTGCATCCGTAGTAATTGTAAATTTCTTGTCATATTCAGGAAATTTTAAAATTGGATGTGATGAGATAAGGATTTTTAAATTTTTAAAGCTGGCTATATATTGAGGATCTCTCGGATTTATTTTGTTATCTTTCTTTAAATATTTTATCATTGGGTAAGATATTCTAGAGTAATCTTTAATAAACTTTCTATAATAGCCTGTGGTCCCTAGAAACTCTTTTAATTGCCTTTCTGTTGTTGGTATTGGTAATTTTGTATTTCTAAAATTTTTTCCGGGTTGGGCTTTATGCCGTCTTTTGTCAAAACGCGGCCTTAAAGTTCGGTTTCTCTTTTTAAAAAACTACACTTATTTGCCTGGATTTTTAAGTTATTTTCCTGAAGCTTTGAAAAAATAGTTCCTAGTGAATGTATGTGTTCTTCTAGTGATGTAGAAAATATTAATGTGTCATCTAGATAGACTACACATATTTTATTAATTTGTTCCCTTAGGATGTCGTTCATTAATCTCTGAAAAGTGGCTGGAGCATTTTTAAGCCCAAAAGGCATCCTGACGTATTCATACAGGCCTGCTGGAGTCACAAAAGCTGTTTTCTCTATATCCTTTTCTGCCATTAGGATCTGATGGTAACCTTTAGCTAGATCTATGGTGCTAAAGTACTGTGCTTTGCCCAATTTATCTAAAATTCGATCAATATTTGGCAGGGGATATTTATCGTCAACAGTAATTTGGTTTAACCTCCTGTAATCAACCACTAATCGAAATTTGTTTATACCGGAACTATCTGATTTCTTTGGCACAATTATTATTGGTGAGCTGTACTTGCTTCGACTTTTTCGTATTATTCCTTGCTTTTCCATTTCTTTAATTTGCCTTTCCGCCTCATCCGCATGTTTGGGGGGCAATCTGTAAATTCGGGAATTAATTTGCTGATCCGTTGTTGTTCTAATTTCATGAACAACGGTATTGGTGTTTGTCAGATTATCTCCTTCTTTATAAATTAGCTTTTCGTACTTTTTTAATAGTTTACTTATTTTCATCTTTTTTTCTAGGTTTAAATGGTCGAGATTGATTTTACTAACTTCTCTTTCTTCCAACGAATAAACTTGCTCATGCATAATTTTCGTATGGAATAGAAGCTTGACACCATTTCTCAATGCCATTTCTTTGTTTTCAATGTTTATTGCTTTCACATTTTAAAATATAAAATCATTCAATCAATCAAACCAGTATATGGTCGTATGGCTTGTTAAAATCCATTTTTAACCATCGCATTCTTGCATTTTGAGAATATCTAAATTCTAGTGGGCATGATGTCTTAACTCTTTCGTTCATTGCCCTTATTTCACCATTCAGTGTACTAATTATTCTTTTATTTTTTTCTAAAACTGGTAAATTATACTTTTCGAAACTGACTCTTTTCATTATGCTTATGGTAGAGCCTGGAGGTTGACACTATGAGCAGAACAGAGGAAACAAATAACAACGAGGAATTTTTTACCAATTAGCCTCGGAAAATCAAAATAAAATTTTAATTTCACTCACTCTATTTAATAAGAAATGGTGTGCATTAGTAGACAATGGTTTGGTCAAAGTCATCTGGTCATTTGTTGGCCTGAAGTGCTGTTTTAATTTAGCTTTACAAGTTGCCCAATCTTGAGGTGGGTTTGCTTGCAAAAAATTTTTTGCAGAACCACCAATTTTTAAGTCATAGATCACTCTAAAAAATATTTCTTCCTGTGCTCCATAGTCCCTTCGTACTCTGTCAATGAAATTCCTTCTGAATTAAAAAGCTGTATTACCGGTAAAAACCCCAGAGTTTATAATAAAATAAACATTTTATAGGCTATTTTTCCAACTTATGTATGTGTGTTGCGTGAGCAATTGCTTATTGAGCAAAGGATAACAATACAACGGTGGCTA